CTCACAGACCAGAGTGACCCTGTCTCCAGCAGGGTCATCTGCAGTCTGGTGGCCTCAGGATTGAGGCCCTGTGGCTGCCCCTCTCTTCCTATGTTGAATTAGAAGGTAGCAAGGATGAGAAATCAAGTCCCTCTAAGATATTCCTCAAAGTAAATTCTAATAAACAGGAGTTTCCCCAGGAAGTTTCACTACTGGGAAGGCATTGTATGATTGGGTGAGTTTGGGAAATGCTGAGATCAGTTTCTTTATGATAGAGCTTCTCAGAACCCTTTTGACCTTGCTGCATGCACATTGTGAATTTCGTGAGTAGAGGAGGTTAGTTTGTAGTGTATCAAGGGATCCCTGTCTTGAGGAACCTTCTTGCAAGATGTAAAAAACAAAAACACACAATTCTGTAGCCATTGAGTTGATTCTAACACATGGCAACTCCGTGAGATACATAGTAAACTGCTTCAATAGCATTTTCTTTGGCTATAATCTTTATGGAATCAGATCACCAGGACTTTCTTCTGTGGTACCGATGGGAGGTTTTGAAATGCCAGCTTTTAGAGTAGTGGACAATGGTTTCTCACTAGGATTTGAATGGTAGCTGAAGGACCATTCATTTTGGGTTGGGGTGACGCTCAGATTCTAATCTTTGATCTAAATGCTCAATGTTTACACAGCTGGTTGGTTAATCACTCAGTTCTCATTAGAACAACATTTAGTGGAATTGTTCTAATGAGAACTAAGCAGTTAACCAGGTATAAAAATGCTGGTCATTTAGATAAAAGATTAGAAGCAGTGATTGCAAGGCCACAACTGTGACTAGAATCTCTACTGTGTCCAAGGTCTGCAGGTCTGCGTGTTCCTGGTTGGCTTCCAAGTATTTTATGAGCTGATTCCTTTTACTTTGAATATTACCTCCTGTGAGAGCCTCGGGGAATGTGGAGCTGCTCAGTTTCCTACATAATTTTATTTCTCTCATTTTCAATCAAAGTCGGTGGGAAACCAGGTGTGATTAAAGATTTAAACTGTTAGAAGTTTGCAAACTGTGACAAACTTTGGAATGATTCCACTCCCCAAATTTTTGTTGCTCCAGGCAGGCTGACCAGTCAGACTATTACAGAAGAAAGCTTGTTTTCATTCATTCATTCATTAAGCACTTACTATGTGTGTACCAAATGCTTTACCTGGTGTTAAAAATAAATCTAACCTTTGCATATCTGTATTCATAAAATTAAAAGGGGTCGGGGACTTGCTCCAGAGAAGCTCAGCTATTGCTAAAATAAATCTATCCCTCTACAAGGAGTTTCATAATCTAATGAACAATGTTCACAGCATCCCGTCAGTAGTGTCAGCATTTCTTCAAAGCACACCTCAAAGTATGCTCTGCAGGAGAAAAAACAAGACCAAATAAAGAGGTACTTTGCAGAAAAAGAAGGGGAGAAGGGGCAAGAATAGAGGACATAGGAGAAGCAAGTCCATGGATTCCTATAATCACATAGCAGGGAAGCACCATCTGATACTTTGATGCATGCTACTCCAAGGTGTCCTGACAAATCATAACTGAGAACATTTCACCCAGCATTTCCCAAAGTTGTTTGAGGATAGAATGCCTGTGACCATCCCACTGCTAAACCCAGGGACACCCTTGAGGAAACACTACTGCTAACTGAATAAGCTGATCGGTGGGCTGATCCATATGACACCACTGCCCACACGTGGCTATTTAGATGTAAAATAAAAAGTCAGATCATAATAGTGGCTACCACATTGTCTCAGAAAATTCTATTGGACAGCACTGATTTAGATCTTATTTTGGGAAAATCTCACCTGGAATTCTGTTGTCGGTAGCAGCCTGGCCAGTGTATTTCCTGTCTCTTCAAATGAACTCCAACAAATTTCATGTGGGAAGGAGATAGCTTAAGGTTTATCAGGTTTCCAGCAGTGTTCAGTATTTAAACAATTCCTATATAAAATCAACAAGATCACAAAAACCTTGAGTGTGATCCAGACATTGCCTAAATTCTTCTGCAGACATGATCAGGGTGGGGATAGAGTTTTGGTGAGGGGCACCATGCAGACTGCCCTTTTTTTGCAGAGGATCAGCACTGCGACAGGAGATGGCAAGCACTACTGCTACCCTCATTTCACTTGCGCTGTGGACACGGAAAACATCCGCCGGGTGTTCAACGACTGCCGCGACATCATCCAGAGGATGCATCTCAAGCAGTACGAGCTCCTGTGAAGCCACTCAACAGCTGCCCCGCCCAACTCTCCTCTCCACCCTACAGGGGCATTGTTCCAGGACTGCCTGTCTGTTGGTTGGTCCCATGTCAGGTAGAAGTAATACACTCATAGCTTCCTCCTGCTGTCGTCTGACCTGTTATACATGTTCTCCCAGAGTGACCATCAAGCCTCTGGCTACCTCTCTGTTCCCCTCAGGTTTGTTGTAGCTTTTGTTTTCAAAATATCTCCAAACCTCACCAATTTGTGTCATTGCAAATGTCAACTCTCCTTCAGGGACAGTGGGTGGGGGGCTCCTATTATTCATCCATTCATTCAGGGAGGACACTTGAGATGGAGCGAAAGTGGTTTGTTTCCAGTAGAACAGGACTCAGGATGGCTAGACTTAGAGTTGTTGTTGTTTTTAAGTGCCGTCAAGTCGGTTCTGACCCATAGCGACCTTGTATAGGGTTTCCGAGGAGCACAGACCCCAAGAAACAAAATGAAGAGAAACTTTCCAGTCACACTTAGACTCTGCCAGCCTCACACACTAAATGTGTTACATTTAGGCATTAAACCTACTACAGTCCCTGGTGTGGTGCTGTGGGTTAATGCACCAGACTGCAAAGCCATTTGAACTGCAAGGTTGGCAGTTCAAGCTCACCAGCTGCTCCTTGGAAACCCTATACAAGTTTGCTTATGGGTTGGAACCAACTCAATGGCACTTCACAACAATAACAATAACATTCCCTGCTACAAACTGTGTCCTAAGAATGAAACTCCAAACCTTCACTAAACTAGGACAAGGATCTGGTTCCAGTCTTTCACTGTTGTTCTATTGCTGGTTTATCATACTGTACAGACCACAAAATGTGATATTATTTTGTATAACTACTAAAGAAAACTCCATGTGGATGTTTGTGCCTTGGTTATGGCTATACCTGTTTGAATTGTGCTGAACAGCTTAATGTCAACATGACCTACTGCTTGTTCTAAAAAAAAAAGAAGAAAGGCAATGAAAGGATCTATAGATCCTTTATATCGGGTTGGTACTTAAAAAACAAAAAAAAACTTCTTGGTTAAAAAAAAAATTATAAGCTTTCCCCATTTAATACTCATACATTCCCAGCATCAGTCAGAAACTACTACAGCCACTGGCCTTTGCTTCCCTGAGCCTCAGCTTTACACCCTGACTTCAATTCAATCATACAGATAATCATCTGATCGATTTCCAGACGATGTTTCTTACTTATTCTGTTATTTGCAGACTTTTATACATGAATCCTGAGTGGGAACAATCACCTATGCTATTAGTTAAAGGTCTGGAATTATCTCTCTCAACCACAGGTTCTAATGTATAACTAAACATACAAGAACAGCCAGATGCTAAAAACATTTATGTCTGCCTAAGAGAATTAGAAGAAACTCTTCATTTGTCTTTAAAAGAAATATTAGAAAGTATTTATTTGAAATATAAAGTCAAAATTTATGGCTGTTTCTTACATTGAAAAAGTTGTACAAGTGTAGTCTGAAGATAATGAGAAAGCAAAAATTGTCTTACAAGTTTTTGCTTCACATTCTGTCCAAACTCATAACCTTGAGGAAGTTTTCTTGGGATAGCCAGTAAAGATGTACAAAATTACATTTTCAGTAGTATAGATCCAGAGAAGGGGCAAATGACATACTTCGTTAGTTTACTTTCAGTCTCTTTGCTTAATGTTTCAGGTCTATTCTAGAACTCAGTATTTTGCAAGTCTTTATAAACTCATCACTGTCTTGCCATTCCTCTCATCCTTTCATAAAGCTCTCAGTTGAACTGGGACATATAAAAGGGAAATTATTTTCAATTCCCCTTACACATTCAGAGTACAACTAGACACCTCTCTGCCCCTCCAAATTAAATTGTATATTGTTATATGCATTATTACTCTAACAAATTCTTTTATTTCAAAGTTTGATTAAAGAAAAGCCAGACCGTTAGAGTAACATGAATAGCAGACATGTTTGTTTTTACATATCAAAGGCCATTTTCTACTCCATATTTTCAAGGTTTTTTTGATCATTGGTGGTGGTGGCTGTGTGCCGTGGAGTCGGTTCCAGCTCATAGCGACCCTGTACAGGGATTCCGAGGCTGTAAATCTTTATGGGAGCAGAAAGCCTCATCTTTCTCCCATGGAACCGCTGGTAGTTTTGAACTGCTGACCTTGAAATTAGCAGAGGCAATTCAAATTTAACGATCTGAACAGAAATCAGCTGGATAGAAAAGTTACACCTATTTGAAAATCTGAGTTCCTTAATTTAGCACAGACAGAAGTCTATGAAAACAACATGTTCCTGCTCATAGCATCTGTACCTTGTATGTGTACAGCTTTATAACATAGAGGAATTTTAGCCACTTCATAGGAGGACAGAGCAAACCCAACATTCCTATAGACACATCATCCCCTGGTGTGTTGGTGCGAAGACCCCTTGGGGCCGTCAGGATCGTGTAGTGCATGCAGTTGATGACATTATAGCATTTACATACTGTACAAATACAGCCTTTGATTATACATATATTTGATAAAAATGACAAAACAGATGTGTTGTAGAATACATGTTCCATTTTTATAGCATGAGAAAAGTTCAACTGGTTATTTATTCTGCAGTGATTCACATCAGTGGTTTAGAATCTCTATGATGTACACAAAGATGGCCTATGTTTGGACTCATCAGCTACTTGATTCTAATATGAGAACTGTCCCAAGTTCAGTTTCTTTGGTTCGATATTAATTACTACATGCAAAAGCATTTCACATCACCTTACGCTTCCGAAGCAGGTTTAAACCAAAAATGAAAGGCCAGGTTAAAAGTTCAAAGTGAGCTAGTATGAGGGCCAGGAGGGCCACAGTTGTTCCACAGTAGGTGGCCAGGACCGTGTGCTCCAGGGGAAGGAAGCACTTGGAGAGGGAATAATCTGTGGACGTTATGCTTCCCTGTAAGAGAAAGTAGAAAGTTACGATGTAAGTGGAGCACAAGCACAACTTGGACAGGACTGACTTCCTGTCCCCTTCCCTCACTCCCCTTACACACACTCACACAAGGGTTTAACATCTGAGGACACTGGCTCCTCCCTGAATGATAAAAGCATCCTCTGTAAAATCCTTCTCCCATACTGTGCAATCACCCCAGGAATAACATGTGTGCCCAGAGAGGTGTTTCGAAAGGGGGCAGAGTCTTTGAGTGTGTGTGTAGGGAGCTGGTTTATGTATGGCTTTTGTATACTTTTACAGATTGCAACAATTAAATAGTTGATTACTAGTGTTGAACAGTTATTTATGAAAGCTTTCAGCAAAAATAAACTTTAACATTACCATGATGAAACTGGGATTGTTTCTATTTCTCCAACTGAAGGACGGGATGCTGACCTCGAGCACTCCCCCACTGTGGATCACTTCGCAGCCGCTGTGTGTGTGGCCACTAAGGACCAGGCGGGGCTGGACCCACCACAGTAACTGCAGGGACACAGGGAAGAGCCGCTTAGGCCTGGCCAGGGGCCTCATTATCAAGCCTAGGCAATGTGCCATCACTTACTTAGATCAACTACTAAATTGTTATCACATATATTTTTTTTTCTTTAAAGTCATTTGCTTCATTTATGCACTACCCAAGGTAAATTCAACCTTTTAGAGAGAATCTAGTCTCATCCCAGATCTTACAGACTTTTTTTACATTTTGTATGTTTCATATATATATGAAAGTACATTTTAGTTAAGTCCCTAAAAATTGAACTCTCAGTGCCATTCACAATTCCAAATATACTGAATTAATAAAAACACTCTGAGTAATGGATAAGTGAGAATAATAATGACTGATATTGGGAAACTGAAGTATATTTACTGAAAGAAAAATAAAGGGAAGATCATGGTAGAATGGAAATCTGAGCTCTTTGCCCAAACCTTGCCCTTCTTTTTCCAGCTGACAGTTCTAAGAGGTGTCAATTTGTTAAATGCCAGTGGATGAAAGTTACACTGGGACACTAAGTCGCATCACAGAGCACCGGCAAACCTTGCGTGAAGCCTCCTGGGAAAGCACATCATATCTCTCCTTGAATGGGATGTTCTTTTCCTTGGGAGGAGCAGCATCTTCCCCAACACAATTCGCATCACTTCTGCGGTAAAGTGGATAATGCTGTTTAAAGAGAGGTCAAGCTGACTGCAAGAAACCATGGGCTGTTCTGCCAAATATACACAGGTACCTCATTCTCTCACCTGCAGAAGGACTGGGGCTGAGGCCGGGAGCTGCTGCCTGTCTCCACACCCACTGGAAGGGGTTACATGCTGCTGGTGAAAACACAGCAATTAACCAGCTGAGTCCAACACTCCCTAAATAGGGGGGAGGGACCCTGAGTGATGAAACAAAGAGAAACATCTACCTTTGTTCAACACTACCACAATAGAAGGCACTGCGGTGTTCAAATTGTCTCTTACCTTTCGGGAGCAGTTCAGTTTGTGAGAAATTTCAAAGAGTTCAGCTTCTGTTTCAGAGCAAATGCCGCAGCCATCCCCCTCCATAGCAACGCTGTTCACCATCACAAAACTGAGGCCGGTGAGCAAAGCAGAAGACTGTGACCATGGGCAACGTGGATTCTTCCCTTCTAATTTTATCCCCATAAAATGATAACTAGCCCCACGACAGCTTACACATTTCAACTAGGCTAATTTTCTTTGTTTTCAAATACAAGGGGCTATGACAAATTAGCACTGCTAGGAATCAAGTGTAAGATATGGTAGAAGGATTTTTAAACCTAAACTTATGAAGAAATTCCAAATTAAACAATGCTCTGAAATCAGACTACCTCTATCCTCAGCATCTAACACTTGAGACCATATACCCTTGGGCACGTAGCTTAAGCTCTCTGTGCCTAACCTGTAAAAATGGGACTAATAGCACAACCACACTGTAAGTTTGCTGTGAGGACTAAAGTGAAATAATGGGCAATGTGCTTAGAACAGAAAGGAATCCAGAAAGGTCTGATGTGGTTATTACTATGTAGTATAAGGTGGCGATGAAGGATAAGCACTAGACTGCTAACCACAGATCAGCAGTTCCAAACCCACCAGCAATCCATGGGAGGCTGTATGCTGCCACAAAGATTTACAGTCTTAAAAACCCTACACAGGGTCACCATGAGCTGGAATTGACTCCATGGCTGTGGTTTTTGGGGCTCTGGTTTGGTAAGCAAATCAGGGAGGGCAGGGGAGCTACAACCAACTGGGTGTGGCTAAACCCAAACTAGAATAACAACAAAGTCAACTACGGCAAGACTACGGCTAGTCTTTACAACTACGGCTAGTCTTTACAACTACGGCTAGTCTTTACAACTACGGCTAGTCTTGCAACCATTTTTTCTTTTTCATTTTTTTTTTTTTTGTAGCTTAGTTATATTTTGATGTTGTTAAGTGCCGTCAAGTCAGTTTTGACTCATAGCGACCCTGTATACGGTTCCAAGGAGCAGCTGGTGGGTTTGACTTGCCAACCTTGTGATTCGCAGTCCAGTACTAATCCACAGTGCCACATAGCCTTTCTTAATTAAAAATGCTTTTATTTCCTAAGCACTTTATCAACTGGGCAGGAAGAAGGTACTGTCAGTAAAGATTGCTTGAAACAAACAGTTTTAGGTATAAGGAACTGACTAATCAATTGATCTGAAATATGATCAATGTGTTTAACATTTCCGAAACTCTACACTTAAAGAAGAAAACAAGTAAAACTACAAAATGTCTCCTTCATGACTCAGGAAAGGGAACTATAGTTACTAGATACAGTGCCCCAGAGGAGCAAAACAATCATTCTTCACAGAAGCTTTGTTTCTCATGCTTTGCATATATGACCTTGTTATGAACTCCTGTGGCCAAAAACCTCTTATACTTTTTCTGCCCACTTATGTCTAAACTACAAAAACACAGACAATCTTGTCTACTGTGTTACAAGAACAAACAGAACAGTAAAAGGGATTGGCTGGTGCTGTGGGCAGGTAAGCTGATAGGGTCAAGTGGGAGCATCTCTCAAAACACACATGTATACACTTGCCTCAAAATTTAGGGCACCAAAACTGTGGGGCATCTTTCATACAGTGGAATGAATAAAAAACAAAAATGACAACTTTACACAGTGGTAAATAATATAAACAACCCCCAGAGTCAGTACTGGCAGAAAAACTAGAACCTCTAAGTTGTTTGGCAGAGGCACATATCGACAGGTCCCATGGGCTGTTACTGAAAACCAGGATGGCCTGGAGCTTCTACTGGGAACCATCAGCAAGAACCTACAGAAATGGCCAACCAGGCCAGAAACAGCAGGGGTCTGGCCAAAGACTTCGTAAAAAATCATAAATTATACTCACTTAATTCCTTTCCAAGAAAACAGCTTTTCAGAGTTGAAAACCTTCTCAAATCGTTTTATTTTGTATGCGCTCATCCTACATTCAGTTGTAAAAAGAAGCATGTTTCAGAACAAGATATTTTAGAACCTTTTAGAGTTATTATGAGCACGGAAAGTAACTTACAGGGCATTAGCATGAGTAGTATTAGTTCAGAAGTCCTACTTCCCACTTCTACTACTGACTAATCGTAACACCTGGGGCAAGTTACTTAACCCTCCTGGGCCTCAGTTTCCCAGGTGTGCTATGAATAAAATAATAAGATTATGGTTTGTTGCTGTTGTTGTTAAGTGTCGTTGAGTCAATTCTGACTCATAGTGACCCTGTATAGAGTTTCTGAGAAGCAGCTGGTGGATTTGAACCACCAACTTTGTGGTTGGCAGTCTAGTGCTTATCCTACAGCACCACACCAGAACTCCAGAATTATAGTAAGGATTACATAAATTAATATATGAAAGCAAAGTGTTTAAACCAGGCTGGTCATTCTTCAGCACTATATAAATGTTTCACTAAAGTTTTAATGGTCTTATTTCATTCTGATTTCCAAATAAGTAATTGGCATGAAGTGGCAATTTCAACTTATAGAAAGAAATCCAGTGGGCACATATAGCAAACATTTTCACTCAGCAAATATTTGTGTAAGACAAAATCCTTGCCCTATGGAACTTAGATTGCAAAGTTTATCTCTTTTGAGGAAAACAAATTGCCTTAATACAGCACAAATATGGCTTTCAGCTGAATTTTAGCAGGTCTAAAGTGCAGCACTATAGGATATGCACTGGACTGCTATCCACAAGGATGGCAGTTCAAGCCTACCAGTTGCTCCTAGAGCTATGAGTCGGAACTGATGTGATGGCCCTTAACAACAACAACAACAACAAACTGGTAGTTAACAAGAGCCCTCCTGCTTCAATAGGAGCCCTGGTGGCACAGCAGTCAAGTGCTCAGCTGTTAGCCCAAAGGTCAGCAGTTCAAGAGAGAAAGCCGTAGCAGTAGGCTTCAGTAAAAATGGCAACCTTGAAAATGCACCTGAGCAGCTCTACTCGGTTCTGTCATGTCACTAGGAGATGCTCAACAGCAACGCTTTAGGGAACTACTTACTGATAATGGAAGCCAATGTCATGGTTCCCAGCAATCACCTTCAGCTGTACATGCTGTGGGTGTCTGAACATTTTCTGAAATCTCTCCACATCATCGGCCCATGCCTATGGAAAAAAGGAGTCACTGCTGAGAACTTGAGAACCTTCTCTTCCCTTTTGCTCATAGTGTCCCTGTTTGATGGTGAGAAGCTAATTCTCCTGTATCGGATGCTTATAAAACTAATGTAGAACCTAGGATTTTTTAACTCTATTTTAGTATTTTTTTTCCAAGACAACACTTAATACCTTATTTAATCTGATGCCATATTTTAATTAAATGGTGTTGTTGTTGTTGTTGTCAGGTGCCATCGAGTCGGAACCGACTCATAGCGACTCCATGCACAGCAGAACGAAACAATGTTCGATCCTGGGCCA